GCAACTTATTCACGGAAATATGGTCAACTGAAACCTAAATCTAACAAGAATTACCTACGATCGCAAAAAGATTAGAACTGAAAACTATGAATGGATCCCGAGTGACGCCAAAAACTGCTGGTATAGAGTCAACCTAAAGAAAATGAAGCATCATATCAATATCCATTACAACAATAAGTGGAAAAGAAAAGATATATGTTACATAAATGTATTGTATATATATGTCTGACATTATTGGTAGGTGAGGAAACCTACAGCGAATGCTATGTCACTGAGCTCAATAACTGCTACCGTGAGAAGTAAAGGTGTGGCCTGCCCAAAACGTTTGACACCTGTTAGAGATCAAGTAGCCATTAATTTAACAAAAATATTGATTTTCAATTTGGATTCACAAACTGTGGCATCTTGATCCAGAGAAAGTTGTAAATTACATCTGTGCAGTTTAAGACTTTTATACCTCCACAACCGTGTGATAAAATGTTGTAACCTAAGAAGATCCCATCAACAACTTACCTTCCGGACACCATCTTGAAATGTAAAAAATCGATTGCCATCATAATTAGCTGCAAAAATCCACCAGAAAAAAGGTATGGATTAAGATCATATACCGAAAAGAAGCTAGTGCAAAGTGAATGTTTGCAAGATAGCCGATGATCTACAGGAAGCAAAATAATATAAAGGATTAAAATTTGCAGGACGAAGCAATCTATACAATCCATTTTTTTTTTCCTTTTTCTTGTTCTGATATAGTGTAAAATTCAAGTAAGCAAAGTCTCACCAAACTAAAATATTCCGCCCTAAAGATGGTCTCCTAGGCCTTGCTATATTCAAAGGTCATGCTCAAGTTTATTTAATAAAAGTGAGATAAAAAAATGAGCTAAATAAGACAAAGGATCAGATCAGCCCCAATAAATTCAGAAGTTCCAGTTTTGGTCTAAGCTTGAATTACCAAGAATCAACAAACAGCACTTCAACCAAAAAGTAAGAAGAAAATAAGTACACAGTAAAAACATTACACGTGACAGGTATAAATCTCTGGCATGTCTTCACAATAAAATTGTTGGATAGATCAGTGTCATCTTCTTCACTGGAAAATAGCTAGAACAGTAAACAAAAAATTTGAGTCATTTGATGGCAAGAAGTCGATTAGTACAGAATTACAAGTTTGTTTTAAGGAGTAATGTCAGTCCATGAAAATGTATAAGAAAAAAGATAGTTATCACAACATTTTTAGAACAGAAGATTCACCTTGAAAGATGAGTAAAGGAGTATTGCGGCCAGCAAAAGATTTACCGCCTCAAACCTCTAAACAACACATCACAAAAATTTCAAAATAAGCACATAAAGACAAGAACTATAGATTCACAAACACACATATGCACCGAGAACTATAAGTTTACCTGAAGTGTGGCTGTTCCAAGGAGTATTAATGTCAAACGAAAGACCACCGCTCCAGCAATACCATAAGAAAGTACTCGATTCTATAGTTCGGAGAGCAAACTTTTCGTAACCATTAATTACCAGACAGCTTGAATCTTTCAAGAACAATCCTTTACATAAAATTGAGAACCTATCGAGCATAAATTTGAATGCTAAAGGGTTTACAAATTACCTGATACATAATTGGCACTTTGAAGTACTTGAAAACTAGAACAAAGACAAACAGATTGTCTACTGACAAGCTTTGCTCCAGTAAATACCTGGTACATCCTAACATTCAGAATGCAGCACAAGATATACACATGTTGCCTACTTTGATTAAGACACCGGAAAATAACTAATGCTTCAAAAGACAAGAAGTTTAACTTCCTATCCACTGTTAGAAAGCTTTCACAGTGCAAATTTCTACATACCCGGCGAAGAACTCCGATGCCTTGCCAACTCCGTCTTTAAAGCCCACACCAATGCCAAATGCTACCGCAGCACACACCTTAAGAAATTAATAGCTACAGTTATCAGCATTGTTGAAGTAGACAGTTCAAATTAAGCTGAGAGGTGCTCACCCACAAGGCTACAGTTCTTACAGAAGCAGCATAAGCTTCGCGCCCCTTAATTTTATCGGGAGAGTCATTGTGAGAGGGTTCCGCATTACTAATGCCATCTCGTGACGCAGAATCACCCCTCTTTTCTTCTGGAGATTCAAGCGGAAAGTTCATATAAACTACAGAAAAGTATCAAAATTTGACATAATTTCGCAAAAATCTCAAAATTGTCAGTCCCTTGGATCTAAATTTGTTAAACTCAAGTTACATAAACTTATCAATGAAACATACAGTTAGTGTTTTAAATTGAGCCCTTAAAAGAGGGCTTTTTTTTTCTTTTCACAAGAATCCTTTGATAACATTACATTTTTGAGAAAAATACTTCGTGTCCAATACTTCGGAATATTACCATCCTGAATTTCAATTGTAGAAGGGCACAAAAGGGTTTTAGCAACGAAAAACCAATTAGAACATTACAGTTTGCCTAGCTGAGGGTGTTTTTTCTCAATTGAACTCTTGGTGTAATTTTATGAAATTTATATAGTTGTGAGGGTGTTTCTTCTAATTTTCTAATGTCGAAATTAATATGCATAATTCAAGTGGGCAACTTTCACTTGCTCGTGAATCTCAAATTTACATCCGACGAGTGTTAGAAACTGGTAGTCACCTGAAGTGGATAAATCATCATCCTGCTCAGTTGCTCTAGAACGTGCAATCGGCGCGGATTGGCCGCGGCGGCAGCGGCCGCCTGCAATCCAAATTCCAACAATACAAATATGTAAATCAGAAAAGGAAATTGCAGATATAAAATTGAAGCACGGAAGCGTGAGTGAGAGACCGTACGGATGGGAACAATGTGATGGTGAATGAAGTGAGGCATACTCCAATTTGGGGCTGGTGATGGCAGCGAAACCCTAGGCAGGCGGGAGTTGAGCTTCAGATGGATGTGGACGCCGTTATGGATGACGGAAGCCGTGCCCATGTCGGTGATGAGGGAGAGAATTTGGTGCCAAATTCAAATGAGGAAAAGGGGAAGAAGAGAAAAAGGAGCTCCGTGTAGTGTGTAGTACACTAGTAATAGCAGTTGTAATGTGCGGTGGGTATCTTATCCCTTCCTTTGGATAAATTGGCCACACAGAAAAATTGGAACGATTTAAAAGCATGAGAATAAATGCTTTGTTATACATGGCCAAAATAAAGACAACATTTGCTAGAGATCAAAGTAGAACGAAAACACTATATTACACTGTTTATTTTCTTTGCATGCTAAACGAGTGAAATAGACGTAGAAGATGAGATGTGAAGGAAGCAATATTATTTCTATGCTTTTCTTCTTTTGTTATGTAAGGGAATTGCAAAGTTGGCATAACTTGTTTACTGAGATTGAAATAGATAGATAAAAGGGGAAGATTTTTACATTACAAAGGTTCGTTTATATAGGGAAGTCTTACACTCGTAGAAAACAAGTGGTATAAGTGAAAATCCTCATTCATTTTACTACTTCATCTCTGTAAAACTTATCCTACCTAAAGCCTTTAATTGGTGTCATCAAAGTACATTTTGGTTGCATGTTGCTTTGCTTCTTCATGTGTTTTTATGTGTGGCATTTGCACTATATTTCACAACAGAATTAATTAATCACAATTTAAAGGGCTCGTTGAGATTTCCTAGAACTTTATCGAATGTCCCTCAAAATACTAATGTTAGGTAAACCATTTTTTAGACTAGATTTGCAAATTATGTTGTGTGTTACCATTAGAAAATAAATAGGTTAATCAACTATTAACTGATTATTCAATTATCAACAACTACGTCATATGATTTAAATAGATGGTATTCCTAATATTACCGTCCCTCAAATGGGACTGAGATTTCCTAGAATGAATCAAAGTTGTTTTATGAGAACTACAAAAATGCATGATTGTATTATGATAAATAATTTGCAAAACAAAATGATGTATAGAGAACAACACTTGTAATTGTAATGAGTGTTTATCCACATATTCAATAAATTTCTTACAATTTATTGGAAAAAGTAAAATGCAAAAATATAGTTATCTATTTTCTATCTGAGTGAGAATCTCAACCTAAGCCATATCTTATATATAAAAAAAAATGAAGCAAAAAGGTCACAAAAAACACCAAACTCACTTAGACCGCCTAGGCAGATTAAGTGGGTGTCTAGGCGAGTCTAGGTGAGTGTCTAAGCATGTCTATGCATCATTTTTTTATTTTAGATGTTTGAGACTGATGATAGCGGTGACTAGCTTTCTAGCGCCTAGACGATCTTAGACGAAGACTTTTAGAATTCTCAAGTTCTTTATGGGTATGCACTTGGAATCTGGATCCTCTTTATGAAGATTTTAAGAATCCGTGAATTGTGTCTGTTTATCGTATATTGTACGGTCAGAAATCATTTTAATTTTTTTTATTTAAATTGAACGCAAATAGTATCTAATGAAAACTAACCGTACGATATACGATAAATGGATAAGATCCACGAATCCTCATAAAGAGGATCCGGAAAGGATCCTGTTGGATGCACTTGAATCCTTTTAATTAAAATTTGGACATATTTAATAATAAAAGCACTTGTAACAACACTACTTACTTTAACAGCAATTTCATATATTTATACAATAATATATTTATACTGAATGATGTGTGAGTACTATTTTTTTTGTACAATAATATATTATACTGAATGATGTGTGAGTGTTATTGAACTTGTCATTTTCAAAATTTGAATCTAAAAGTTATTACTTACAAATAAAATGAATACTATTAGGTTATAATATTAATGACTGTTTGAAAGTACAAAATAATAAGACTATGTGGTCGAACATGATACACAAATTTTAATCAAGTCTTAGTACAATGTTATTGTAATCTCGTATCATGTAAGTTATTTTCGACGAAACACAGATAATTTACTTTTCAGGCTGGACATAACAGGCAAAATATCCCCTCCAAAATTCACACGCTTCTTGTTTGCACTTTCACTTTCTTCGCATTCTCACAACCTAAGCCGCGCCACGCCCAAACACCTCCCTCACTCCTCTTTCTCTCTAACCATTTTTGCCGCACTTCTCACGCGCTCTCCGATTCCCAATTCTCCAATGGCCACCGACACACAGAAGCCCAGCGACACCACCACCGCCGTAGAAACCCCTAAGAAAACCCTAGGCACCTCCCCGGTCCCACCCACCTCCACAATTTCGGATCCACCCGAAAATCCATCCGGAAGCACTCCCTCCGATCTACCTCCGTCGTCCGAGGTTAACTCCGAAGAAAACGGGTCCAAGGCCGACTCCGAGGATACCAAGACTGGCTCTGCCGCCGGTGACGCGGCTGCTCCGGCTACTGCCATTGAGAAGAAGATGCGCCGTGCCGAGCGGTTTGGGATATCCGTGCAGCTTACCGAAGAAGAGAAACGCAACTCTCGTGCTGAGAGGTAATGGGGGTTAGGGTTTTCTAGGGTTAGGGTTTTTTTTTTATTTTTTATTTTTTATTTTTTTAATGCTTTCTGGTAAGAAAAGTAGAAAATAGATTTATGGAAACCGAATGCACCCATTGTTCTAACATTCACAAACAGGGCGCTTATGAGCAGAATATTAGTTCTTGATAATTAAAAAAAGATTATGATTTTATTAATTGAAGGATAATGATACTTGAATTGATGATATGACATTTAACTGTAGTGATAATACATTCTTAGATCAGTAAGGATAATTTGATGAGGATTTGACTTAATTTGATTGTAGTGACAATACATCCGTATATTATCCGCTGAGAATTGCGTTTCTAATGGTGGTCTTTGATCTTATGTCAGGTTTGGTACTGTTTCGACATCTCTTGGATCCCAAGCATCTGAAAAACCAGAGGACCTAAAGAGGAAAGCTAGAGCAGAGAGGTTTGTCATGGAGTGCTTGTTCAGAATTCTTGAATTTGATTCTACCAAATATTGGGTTATTTGTTTGTTTTGTATTAAAGATTGTCATTAATCTCTTTATTGTTATCAGGTTTGGTCTTCCTGGCCCAGCTGTGGTAGGTGATGAGGATGCAAAGAAGAAGGCTCGTCTTGCTCGGTTTGCACCTATTTCCAAGACAGATACTAAAGCTGATCCTCAGGAAGAAGAAAAACGAAAGGCAAGGGCACTCAGGTATGTAGCACTCAAGGCCTGATGATTATATTTTCTGTATTTTCTCAATTGAGGTTTCTTTTTGTTTTTTTTAATTCTCCTGAATCGTTTATGTTATATTTCTAGGTTTTCAAACACCTCAAAGGGTTCTCTTACTCAAGTGAATGAAAAGGGTAACGTTGAGCCGGTAAGAGACTCTTAGTTTGATTTTTATAGGAACATTTTGTATAAGACTTTCTTTTTTTTTTTTTTCCTTTTTCATTCTGCTTCTTGCAGTGCTGATCTTTATTTTTTTAATAAACTAGAAGGCAGCCATAGTGGGCAGCGCTGGTGGAGGGGTCTGAAAAGAAGCTTCATTTCTTAGTAGTAAGTTAACTTTTATGAAATTTGGGAGCTATGCAACCAGTTTTAATCTACTTTCCATTCTGCTTCCCTTCTTGATTAGTATACAAGTATGTTATGTTTGTGTTCCTTGAGCTGCTTCAGTTTGTCTTATACTTATGTTTCTTATGCAGGTATAGGATTCTAACATTTTGTGGTTCCCTCAAAGGCGTCCGTAATGGTACCTATCTCTGATTGCATGGATTATCAGGTCGAGTATTTTCCCAATGGTCATTAGTCATCTTCTACCAGTCACTGAACACAATTTGGCGGCATAGGGGAGTGTAATTTCATGCTTGGTTTTGGTTCCTTTATCAATTTTCCTGGCAAGGCTTTGAATAATCAACAACTACCTACTTAGTGTTAACCTACCCTGCATTCTAACAAGAATGTCAGAAATTCAGTATTTATGACGTAGGGAAAATTTAGTACTTGAGGATGCATTAGTGGCAACTTTTGGGTGGTCATTCATCCAATTTACATATACAAAGATAATATCTCGTAATTGTTTGCCTTGAATAAACATGATGCAGTGTTGAACAGAGTTCTGAAGTTGGTTTGCTAAGTCTACACCTTCTGATATGTTACTAGCTGTGCTTAAATGTGCTGATAACCAGCTTAATCCATTACTGTGGGATCCAGGTCTTAGTTTTCTAGGCAATCCATCCTTGTAATATTAGTTATTGGTGGTCAAATTTTAAACTTTTGATGGTGCGTTGAATGGTAAAAACATGTTATTTAAGAAGCAGAAGAGTCGAGCTCATGCACAGTTGAAGATGGCTGCAATAATGGAGTTTTGTTAGGGTGTTAGATACCTAGCTTGTTACAGGACCTGCGTAGTTTTATTGACTTGTGTGCTAGCTTAAGTGAAGTGGATCTTTGTTTCTTATTTTTGGGGGGTGGGGGGTGGGGGGTGGTGGGGGTGGGGGTGGGGGTGTGGGGGATGTGGTGGTGTGTGTGGGGGGTTATGTTTCGGGTTTATTGTTGATGATAGTACCTGGCAACACATCTTCTCACCATCGTGGTTCTGAATCTATTTGTTCATATTGACTATCTTTTCTTAATGCCATTGGTTGGGACCAGGTTAGATGAGGTGTGTCAGCAAATCCTAAGTATTGCTGTTCAACACTGCCATGTTTGTCATGTCTAAGATGGATTTAACTGACTTGAAGCTAACTTTTGTAAGATGGAAATCTTAACATGTATTAGTTTTTCATATTTGCTCAACAGAGGATTTCTCGAGACTCTGGTGTTAGAATTTCTGATATTCTTGGTCGGCAATCTTGGGGTAAGTAGACAATTTGGAGGTGGTTGTTGGTTTTCTTAAGCCTTGCTGGGTTAGTTCTGCAAACTACTGGTAGGATGCCAGGAACGGATTGTACTCGTTAATACTTTGGTCAGTCTTTGCTGTGTAATTTTTAAATTTTGTAGAAAAATCCACCTCATGTGGAAGTTCATGTTTTGTATTAGGTATTGGGAACGGAAGGACCTGTTTAACTTAATTTTGGAGGGAATCACAAAATGTTTGTTACATTCTCCGTCTGTTCAAGTTATCAAATTGCTAATAAGTTTCTCTGTTATTGCCATATTGATGGGTACTTGTGAGGTATCCTGTCTGTCTGAGTTTGCAAATTAAAAGACATGAAAGGTAATGATTCGTTTATTACCTAATCGTTGTTTATTTTTATTGGTGATACATTATTTAGTTTGCAAATTGTCTTTAAATTTAGTCTCCCTAGCATTATCCTTCTTTTTATCGATTTGGATGGCTATTTTTTATCTTCCCTTTTTTCCACGTGCCCTCTTCCCCTCATTGTTTCCGTCCCTCAACCCTACTTGTACTCTTTGAACAAAACAAAGGACGGAAACAATGAGAGGAGGGGAGTGTAGAAGGGGAAAAGAGGAGCGTAGAACTCATTACTTGATTTATTGTTTTCTTGGTTGTTGTGCATAGGGGTGGGTTCGGGACGGTTACCGTACCAAAACTCTCGTACCAATTATCATACCAAACTTTCGGTTTGGCAAAATCTATGACTATTATCGCACCAAACTTTTGGTATACCGAAGTTTGGTATTGCCAAATAATTCGGTTGGCATGGTATAATACTGATAATTGTCACTTTGTTTCTGGACAAAATCAGTTTTTGTTTTTTTAACCCAATACAAGGACAAAACTTTTTTTTTATTTTATTGTAGCTTAAATTCATCTATTATTCATCATTCACAATTCACACACATAATAATTCAAATGATGCATCAAGATTTATGATGAAAACTAAGCTTACAATCAAAATAGAAGTTAAGAAGCAAAACAAATAGAAGTTAACAATCCAAATAGAAGTTAAAGTTTTAAACCAAATGAAAATTGAAACTAAACTTCAAAAAGTAAAATCATTGATCATTGCTTCAAGCTTGAGATGTTGAAGCTTTTGGAGGAGGAATCAAACTTGTAGAAGACTGAGCTTGTGTCAAGCCTACATTACAAACATAGAAAACATATTAGTGGCAAAAAGAATTAAAGTTGAAAACCATTTGATAACAAATTTACTAAAAAAATTAAAGCATTACTTGTTTCCACTTCTTTCATTTCCTTGTAAAATTGAAGCTTATCTTCCGTTGGTTCCTTGTAGAAGTTTACTTCATCCGCTTAAGTCAATCACTAGTACACACTAGTGCCTTTATTATTTTAGGAGTCAAAGATGCCCTAAAATGGACCACAACCCTTTTCTCTAGGCTAAATGCATTTTCACTAACAATAGTAGAAGTGAGGATTGCAAAGATATCATTGGCCATTTGTGAAAGAATTGGAAATTCCTTTGTGTTTGATTTCCACCACTTCGAGAGATCAAAGTCATCAACAACAATGCTAATATAAGTAGGGTTTTATTTTCAAATTATTAGAATATTATAAATGTGTTATATAATTATATATTATATAATTTATAAATATATATTATATTATATTTTTAGTATGGTACGATAATACAGTGGTAATGATATCCAACACCAATACCGTACTCTGAAATTTTGTCACGATACAATACTATATTATTACTGATGTATGGCACGGTTAGCAATTCAGTTGGCGTGGCAATTTGACAAAAATATCCATCCCTAGTGTGCATGTGAACATGGAAAGTGGGTAAACATCGATTTTGAAAACGACAAATATCTGTAATTAGGTGTAGTTTAATTATTGGTTTAAACATCTTTATTAGCCTCAACTCTCAAATTTGCTTTTTGGATTTCATGGTTTGTCGTACAAGGATCTTCGCCGGATCTTTTTTCTAGAGATCCTAGGAATTCCCTAATTGTGTCTGTTTATCATGCATTATGTGGTCAGAAATAATTTAAAATTCAAATACAAATAGTACCTAACAAAATTTAATATTTGGAAATCATTTCCAAATAAAATTATTTTCCTCTATAGCAGTGTTGTAACCATTTTCAAATTAGGAAAACTATTGAAAATAACTTAAAAATTTTGAGTTTTAATGATAAAGACAAAATAAAAGGTAAAGTGAATAGTACTAAGATTGACTTTTTAATGTAAAAATGTAATTTTTCGTTAAAGTGAACGGTACCGAGAGTTTTTTGTTAAAGTTCCCTTCCAAATATTGTACTCCGCACCGCACCGCGCCCCCCCCCCCCCCCCCCCCCCCCCCCCCCCCCCCCCCCCAACAACACCACCCAAAAGTTCCCTTCCAAATGTTGTACTTTGCCCCCGCGCCCCCAAGGTTATGAACGAAGTTGCTCCTGGTTTCACCCAACAAAAATACTTTCTAGGTTCCTTTGTCTGTCCGGACTTCCAATCGGAAATTCAAACTTATTTCAGGTGTAAATGTGAATGTTTTTAATTAATTAAGTTACAGTTCCTTGCATAATTTGAGCCTCTATGTACTGAATGAAAATTCGACATTTTAATGTGTCAAATCAAAGTTACTAGAATACGTTTTTTTGAATCTAACGGTGTATCAAATTTGAACGCTAAAGTGAATGCTGGGGTTGAACTATTTGTTTGCCTTTGGATGACAATGAATATAAATAAAAAGACGGACCTCAAGCTAATGAGGCTTTTCGCTTTATTAAGATCGGGGAAAGAACGTTTATCGTATGCAATGTTATCCTTACTTTACAAAAAAGTTGTTTCCATGATTTGAAGCCATGACCAAAACCTTACCTTTTGGTCATAAAGGATAACAATGAATATGATTACATGGAATAATCCCATATAAATGGTTATGGGGTTTGAAAATCCTAGACGGGGGGATGCAGGGTATTCCTTTCTCAACTGCAAAGAGAAGGCTCAAAGTTTTTTATTTTTATTCGAACGATATTCTAACTTGATACAGATTTGAGCTTCGGTGGAAAGTGGGGATTACTTCTCTTGCCCCACTTAGCTACGCCCATATCTGTGATCCAACGTTAAACTTACAGATTTCAATTTACAAGAAGGAACCGAGTTAAAGAAAATATTTTGGTAAAAGCACTTGCTGCCTTTTCCCAAAACAGGATATCAATATAACAGAACGCCGATCTAGAACTAGAAGTTGGGTTTTAATGAAAAATGAGAATTGCGTGGGGAGCTTCCATTTTTCAACAGGCTTTGATTCAGAAACACCACCACCACCGTGATGTCGTCGTGAAAATGTCGCCTTACTCCGCGCTCGATTTTCCTCAAATCTGCGTACCTCACTTCCCTTTTCTTAGCTGCTTCTTGTAGTGCAGCTTCAATCAGCTTTCTTGCTATTCCCTGCATTACCAAGAAAATAGAAAATGTTCATTAACCTCATCATGTAAGTGATGATGCTGTGTAATCTAGCTCCTTCTCCGAGCTTTTCCGATTTTCACACTCTCATTTTCTTCTTCTGCGCTCCTCTCATTGTTTCGCTGTTTTAATTCTTGTTTGATTATTTTAATCCCAAAGCTAATAAAAAAAAAGGAGTGCATGGGAGAAAAGAGGAGTGTGAAAATCACTTTCGGGTAAAAACAAAGGATGTACGGAAGTAGTGTAATACAGATGGATGTGGAGATTGACCTTTCGGGGGTAATCGTTGACAATGTCGACGGCCTCCTGGTTGCTAAGATGCTCCCACAGACCATCAGAAGCGAATATGAGAAACTGATCTTCCGGTTGGAGTTTAATTACCGATACTTCTGGTTCCGGGATTAGAATTGGCTTGAGGAACGGTTCAGGTAGCCTATATTTTAGGGGTAGAGGCTCTCTGTTGAACTCTGCATTCTTCAAGTACGCGTCACCAATTGATCTCGAAACCTGCAAATTAAGGATATTAGTATTATTACCTGAGTTCAAATCTCATGGACGACAATTGTTGAATTAAAAGAAGAAAGATGGTACCTGAATGAGGCCTTTAACGCGCCAAACTCGGTGCCTTAAAACGACAATCTTTGAATCGTGTGGATGCAACGACTTGAGTTCCTCTCTCACGGATTCTATGCTTGCATTGTGCTCTGCAGATAACTGAATAGCCATGACTTCTTTAGTTGCCCTTTCTAATTTTCCTAGAACCACCCTAGAGTCCCCAACATTTGCTGTGTAAAGCAGTCCATTGCATATTATCCCCACCAAACAACATGTTCCTGCAGATGCAATTTGTGGCTTGCTTTGCCACTGCTTCTTCACCACGGAGAGAAAACTCTCTTCCGTCGCCAAGTACGCCTTCTTGATCACGTTTTCCGACATGCATCGATGCTCAGCTGCAATTCCTGCTTTCCCAATTAGGGTTAGAAAACGGTTAGTGAGCTTAACATTCATCTCTTAGCCTCCTGATGGCCGAGAAAGTATTAAAATATTCAGTTTCGAGTGCAAATGGCTAAGAGATGAGGCACGAGGGAAATTAAAAAGACAAACTTTTAACTTACTTTTTAGATTGCAGAAGAGATTTTCATTGACGTATCTTGAAGCCTCAGGCCCTCCGTGTCCATCATAAACTCCAACAAAAGTCCCCAGAGGACCGGCTTCCGTTGTACACAGAGGACCGGATTCGAGCTGGCTTTGATCCTCGATAACAGAATTGGCCTGAATGGCAGCCATTGAGAATTCTCCCCAAGCATGCTGCCCAAAGTCCTTGTACCATAACAACCCATCAACCCGGCCGCTGGCTTCCCCACCACGGCTAGGTCCATCATCCACTGCAGAAGGCCTCCAACATGACACAACCATTTTTCCAAGCAACAACTTTATAACACACAACAAAACTTTTGTATCATATCATCATCCAAACGAGCCGGCAATCAGAAAATTGATCAAATCGAGATCAAGAGCAACGAGAGCAAGAATTAGGCTGAACCCCAGCTTCTGTTTATGTTTCAAACCCGAAACCCCGTTCTCAACATTCTTACACCCTTCAAAACCAGACACCATTAATATGAACAGAAGTTTAAGAAAAATGCCAAAGGGGTATGGGGAGGTAAAGTCAAGTCACAAATGTGTCTTCGGACCAGAAGGCAAATAGTTTAAATGTTTGTTCAGAGAATATGGAGGCCTGCTGGTTCTGTGTATCTTGAATTAGGGTTAAATACTTCTGGTTTTTCGATATGTGCCATTTTTGAGGAGCAAACTTAGCTGTAAAAGAACATACAGATTTGGAAATTGCAGAGGTTGGTCTGTGATCAGATGATCAGAGTGATCAGAGGGAGCACTGGATAAGAAAAGGGTTTGGAGTTTTTTGACAGAAGATCTTCAAATTGTGGTCAGATGAGATCTAAGATGGGAAATAATAAGAGATTTTTGAGTTACAAAGCTCTGACATTGTTTGTGTTTTTTCTTGTTTTTTGATGTTTTTTTTTTGGGTTTGTGAGAGACTTTCCCATTCCATGATGGAGGTTTTGAGTTTCTATGTGACCTTTATTAGAAAGTAACCCAAGATTTTAGGCAACATTTTGGGCAATGAAGGAAGAAAAAAAATTAAAACTTTAAGGTAAACTGTAGATACGCGTAAATAATCACCATAAGTTTAAACGCGTCTTGGATTTTTACTTTGGTTATTTTTGGTTTAGTTGAAGTACCTAACTTCCAAGTAGTTATTTGTGACCTTTGCCTTGGTGGATCTTGCACTCACATTTGACGTCTTGTGGGTTGAATAAATCCAAGCTCTATCTTTTTCAAACTAAAACTTACACTGGCTTGAGGCAATGAATTTGTGACAATAACCTAATCATCATTAAAAAGCTATGCATGCAATGATTTCAAACCAAGCCATGATTAAACAACTTTATCACTTACTGATTTGGACATGAGCAACTCGATTAAAATATTGTGCTCTGTTATATGTGTTTAAGTTTGAATTTCTTTTTTCATAATTTAAAATAAATTAGAATATTGTTCGAAAAAAAACGACTTTTTCACTGGTTCTTCAATATCTAATTCTAATCTTTCCTCTAAGGGGAGAGATTGAATATTTTTTGTAATTGATACTTGGTGTGTATTATGGGGGTCAGTTGACTTGAACTGATGTGTAACTGTTTCTTGATTGGGGGTTCTTGGTTGGTAGTATTCATGGATGTAATGAGAGAAGAAATGAAAACTCAATGGCCCATGCTATCCCATGCTCTAGCTTGGTTGGCACATCAAATATGATACATAACCACCCTGTTTGTGGATGGAGGAGGCCCCTACATACATGCATAGAGGTTCTAGTAATTCAAAAGGCCAAGTTTTTTCATTCTTTTTACAAGACAATATTACAAGCGATATAACTACTCTAATTTTAATTTACATAAGGAGAGAGATGAAAGTTTGTATGCGGGACACAATGAGGTGAAGAGAAAGAATCTTATCCCTCATGCCAATCACCACCATTGTTTAAAATATCGGTATTTGTTAAAATATCAATATACAAATTTATGAAAATATCGACAGATATATTGAATATTGATTATCGAATATCAATGAAATTTAAAATGAAACTTTAGAAAGTTCAAACGCTAGTTTAGATGAAATATAAAAGTTTTTTTTATTTTTTTATATATAATTAACCAATATGTCTGAAATATTGACGAAATAAGCTGATTTTAACCTTAACTTAAGAGTTCCTCCGATACAAGGTGAAGTTTAGGCTTCAATCTCCCCTCCATATCTTCTTCTTTCTTTCTTTTTTTTTTTTTTTTTTTTTTCAAATGTTTCCACGAAAAAGTGGATAATATCGAATAAATTTCAAACACTGATCACAGCGTGCACTATAATATTATTATGATCAACTAAACTAACCGTATGCTCTCAACAAGGAGAGTATAAGTTTTACTTTTTGTCCAATGCATCAAACTATAACAAAAACATCAAAACTAAAAAAAATTAAACATTTGTGCCTATGCAAAAACTGAGAAGAGGAAGTTGAATGCAACGTATGCGTGCATATCCGAGTTTTGGTTGCAGGTTGTCTATCTCAAGCAAAAAAGAATGGGTCCATTTTCTTTGGCATCACGAGAAGAAGATGAAAGCCCAAAGTATATGGTACACGCACTGCGCACCAATAACGGACCTACATCTGCATGTTTTTTCACCCACTTTGATTCTGATTATTTATCCAAAAACATGATAAACTATTTTCGGACACGTCTTTTCTCAAACTACACACTCTTGTTTTTTTTTTCTTTAATTATTCTTTGATTTATTTTATATGAAAATCTGAAATAAGAATGTACAGGGCAATAGCGGATCCATGTTTTTTTTTAAAGCCTGGTGTGGTGTTCTTGCTTAAGTTTCTTTGTTTGTTGGTGGTTGTAGTGATGGTAGTGTCGGAGGGAGTGAGAAAGGAAGTTGAGTTAGACAAATTTGAGTGAAGCGGGTCAACTTGGGTGAGAAAAGCCAAAAGTAGTTGCTAGTTTCATGTAGAAAAACGGAATGGGAGCCACATGCCATCCTACCTAAAATCCGGTCCGGTAGAGAGATTTTCAAGTCGGAGTGGGCAGTTGCCCACACTTACCTTAGAATGAGTGGCAGATCGAGGAATCCAACCTTTGCGAGTTCTAGTGTAAAAGGTCCAAGGTTTTTTAGAAAAACTTCGCATGAAGCGAGGAAAAAAAATCAATTTGTTCATTTAGGCCTTTCATCGAACAGTTTATAGGCTTGTTGTCGTCAGCCAGTCCATATTGTGCACTTGTCAACAAATATCGATATCTATCGAAGGAATCTATTGAGTGCTAGCGAGTATTGTGAACGCAAACTACCATCGCTGCCGAGAAAAGCCTAACAAATATTACATCAAATGCTTAGTGAGCACAAAAGAGATCCGTATCTAACATCTAAAGAGTCTCCTAAAAACCTTTACAGACGTCTTTATCAACTTACAGGTGATTCCGGGACCACCTTAATCCCTATATGAATCTCCCCTTGCAAGAAGTAGTCCACCCACATACTCTGAAAATCACTTCCCATTATTATCTTACTGTCGCCCACTATAGATAAAGGCGCGGCCTAATTTACCACAATGGTTCCTGTCCATCAATGGCTGGGTCTACCCATTTCGAGTTTTGTTACAATAATTTCATAATTTCCCAAATCCGGTTGAACCATATGTGGCAAAAAGCCCCAAATGCTCAGCTTTAATTAGATTGAGAGGTTCAGTCACGTTTTACATTAACTTTAATCAGAGTAGGTGGAGTTTGGCCATTGGTTGCTTTTTGTGGACTAATAAGCTCTCCCACTTTTATGGTTTTCTGAGATGTGTCACTCTCTTTATGTGTCATCAACCATTTGTGTCTATGAGCACAAATTTATGTACAAGGATCTGCATTTGCAATGCTATATGCCAAGGTTCTAAAAAACGTTAGGTGCTAGTCGGGTGGCGAACTAGCGCCTAGTGCTTGGGCAGCTAGGCAGGATCTAGGTGGGCGCCTAGGTGGTCTAGGTGGATTTAGGTAAATTTCTTGTATATCTTGTAAATAAGTGCATATTAACACATAAAAAATTATACTTATATGAAATTCATAGATAAGATAATAAAATAATGATAAAATTCAAAAAGAGTATCCAACAAGTTCAAATTTAAAAAACACATTAAGCAAATATACCATATAACTTAAGACATTTTGAATGATTAGTAAGTTAAATTAATTAAATTTAGAGAGATAAAATATAATTCAAGACATTTTAAATAATTAGTATTTAGTTTTTAAACAATAAATATTTTAGAAACCCACCTATTGGGTTGAGTAGTTCATAAACATTTAAAAATCAAAAGTTTGTTCATAAAAATCCACATGTGAGGTTTGACACCTCCCCTCTATCCCACTTTCTCACATCAACCTTAGAGCATCTCCAAATGAGGTGTCAAATTTTAAACATCAAAATGATAGTTGATAGTTTATGTGGCAATTTGACATTTTGTACAATATTTTGCTTCACTCGATATGTTAAATAATAATGTCATTTAATAAAAACTTTTTATCTTTTTGTAAAGTCCAATAATTAAGCCAACCAATCAAATATTTTAAAAACATAACAACATTTATTATATATTATATTAATCTATTAAAAAATCATTTAATGAATTTGACATTTGCTGTCAAATTTGACAGCAAAAGGCTTTGCCTTCAAATGACTCAGCACCACATAAGAAATTGAAGGCTCGGTTGGAGAGAGTTTGCTGCCATTTTTTACTGTTGTATGCTTACGTGGCAATTTTGACATCTCATTTGGAGATGCTCTTAGGATTCCAAAAGCAGGAGCCCTTTTTATGCCTTGGAAAACGGATCCATTATGTTTTTTGGGGTTTTCTTTTCCTCTTCTTCCTTGAAAAGAGGAAAGCCATTAATGTTTTGAATTTTTTTCCTTTTCCTCTTCTTCTCCTTCTTTGATTACTATGTTTTTCCATTTCCTCTTTTTCTGTTGCTTTGTAAATTTCCACAGCAATCTCTCTCTCTCTTCTCTAGCCGTCAAACAGCCCATCGTCCACACATACCTTGCCAATTTAAGAAACGATTTTGAGTTAATCGCGGCGGAGCACCACAGCCTAGTGCCCAGGCATCGCCTAGGCGGCCGCTTCAACTGTTTTTTAGAACATTGCTATATGCAATCACATAGATACAAATGTTATTTTGGATGCTTCGACAGAATAGTCAACTAGCTCTTTGTCTAATGATAATTTGATTTCTAATGTTAGAAGAGATTCCAAGAATCAAGCAGAGATATATACGAAATGTATACAGACAAAGGAATGTGGAGTGTGATATCAAATTAGGATTGAGAAGGGTCAAAACTTGAGAAGGGGGAATGAATTTAGTTGTCCAATATGCAAGAGTATTCGATGTGGTAGTCTTAACATGTCAATAAAGACACAAGATGAGAGCTGATAGGATTTTTACCACCTGCTAAAGTAAGGATAAAAACACTTTAAATGCTTGCAAGAGTACAAGGTAATTGTAGTATAGATGGCTTTAGCAAGGTCGTTCTCCACATGAATTGAATGAATAATTTGTATCAAACCAAATATTAATTAATTACTCAAAACAAAGTTTTGAAAAAAAGGTAATTTTGTGATTTTAAATAATAAAAATGAATTTAATAGAAAATAATTAAATAAAGTGACAAAATAAAATAAACTAAAAGAAAACGGTTTTTTGAAAATTAAATTGTAAAAGCCTAGGGTTCCGTCATTAGCTTAACAATCCTACGCGGTTCTTCCAATGACTTATGAATTACACATGCATATTTTGAAGGTTAGGTTTTCCTAAAGTACGCCTACTTAGACCCCCAACATAGAGCATATATCAAACATGCAACTCGTATGTGGTATTCAAATCAAATCTAAACATACATGACTCATTAAGCTTTGTGAAACCTTTTGAAAAACCATACAACCCTTAAGACGTGGTATTCATCCTAAGTGAACTTGCACATATTAACCACAAGAAGC